AATTACTTAATCTGCAAGTAAAAGGGATGGGATTAGAACCCATGCAGTCTCGTTTCTAGAATGTACTCTCTATCACTACACGTCTCACAGTCAAAAAGAAACTGATGTATATAATTTCATTCACAGATACTTAAATTGAAATGGAAAAGTTAAATGAAAAATAATTTTCTCCATTTGAAATACACATGCTGAAGGGTCAGAAAGTTTCCAAAGGAGCATGAAGAAATAAATCTTTCTCTTCTAACAGTGAATAAATTTTGACTCATTGATTCAAACATCCCATGGATTTTGTTGTTGTTGTTATTGTTCTGAAAAAATTCCAAATCATCATCTATCAAACGTCCTAAAACAGGTATATTTTGAATAGTTGGGGTAGGTCAGTGAGTAAAACGAATATTCAGTAATTGAATAATCCAGCTTTAGAGAAAATAGTTAATGTCTCTAAGCAAGTACATTAAATGCTTCTTGTGTTAATAACTAAATATCATAAATAAGAAAACATAGTAACTTTAGATCTACCACTTTTAACTTGGCTCCAGAGATAGGAAAGCTGCATTGAACCCAACTTGATCCTTACTTGCTGGGGAAAAGAAACAAAAAGAAGAGCCAGCTATATAGAGAGAGGAACATACTTGACCTGTGTTTTCTGTGGATTTTTCCGGGGCAGGTGGTGGGGGTCGATCACTGGAGAAATGTACCTTACCGGCATATGTGTACCTGCAAGGGTTTCCTGAATAACTCTAGTTCTGGTAAGACCTGTCCAGGCAACTCTGAATAGACAAAGGCATGGCCAAGGAGGGGATGCAGGAGAAGCTGGAAAACCTCAGGACCATCAAGACATCTGATGCACATGCTATAATTTTTGGCCCTTAAACACATTTTAAACTTTCAGCATAGTTGGGATGTTTTGTTAAGCCTGCAGTCTTTCTGCAGATAAGAACCTTTATGAATTAGTCACACAGCTCCTGTTGCTGATCAGTAAATAAGGGTTACAGTGGAGAATTGAGGGTATCAGTCAGGAAAGTCCCTGAGACAGAAAGAGGTATGGTGTTACCATATTTCCATGAGCAAATAAAATAAAGCTTTTTTTTTTCTTTTTTCTTTTTGCAGKCTGGTGATTGAACCCCAGGGCTTTGCACATGCTAGGCAAGAGCACTATCACAGAGGTACATCCCCATTCTTAAATAATAATATTTTTAAGCAAGTAGAGAACAAGTGATAAGATAAAATAGTGTCTCAATATAACACATTTTAAAATCTGTAAAATATATTTTTATCTCTGAAATATCACATGATCAATTATTGCCAAGTTTATATGCAATACAAAGCTATACCCCAAACAAGCAAGCTCTGATCTTCTGGTTGATTCAGAGAAACCTGAAGAAAGCCAAAAAATCCTAATCAGTTATTAAAACATATTTTAAGAAAAAAATATGAGATGGTTACACTCACAATTCATATTATATTTCATAAAAGATCCATTTGGAATCCACAATCTCTCTTCTTCCTTTAATTAGGAACAACACAATCAACTTCTACTTCATCAAGATTSTTTTGTCGCAGAGCATTACCAACTTCATACTTTGATACATGCTTCATCCAGGTTTTCACCTGTTTTCATTTCAATCACTGATTAGACATTAAATAATTTTCCTCACTGTAAATGTGTGCTATTGTTTAAAAAATCAATAATGTTCAAAGTTGTTCTCAGAGTGAACGTTAGACAAACTAACAAAGTTGATGGCAGTTGTTACTATTATTATGACATATTCATGACAAAAACATTTGCAGTATCCAAAAAAAGTCCCAGAATCATGAAAATCCCCAGTGCAAAGTAACTATTCTAGAGATAAAATGATTTGTAGTTCTTTGTTAATAATTTAGCTGCTTCTGACCAATGAATACCTCTAATCAGACTGCTGTCCAATGACAGCAGTTTTTGACTTTTAGTTAATATTAGCAATATAACTCCCTTGCATCATGCTAATAATAACACATTGGAAGAACCACTCCCAAAAAAAAAGGAGTGCAGTGATATATAAAAACATTTATCTACATAAATATATACTGAAAACTTAATTCCTAAAGAGGTTTCCACTTAAAATACAGGGAGAGAAATGAATGAATATGTTCTAAAGTACTACTTTAACCYTTTCTGCTGTTAGAAGTGTTCCTTTTTTAAAAAAAAAAAAAAAACACAAAGAATCCAAATATCCTCTTTCTCTATAACAGGCTTTCATAAGCATATCAACATTTTTCTCCCACTCTGATAACTGAAAATTTTTTAAAAWTTTTTTAAAAATCAGACAGGAAAGTGTTAACATGAATACCTCTATATAATGCCCCCAAGGGGAAAATACAGGGTTAAACCCTAAATCAGAGATGAGAAGTATGGGGGTACCACAAATTGTTAAGTTGAGGGATGAATAAAGCACTATAATCTTAGCAGTCAGCATAAAAAGCCTCTCTCTGAAGCTTTGTTCCAACTATAATAACTTGGTGTACTTACCAAAAAAAAATTATGATCATATGGACTTCATGCATGATTGATACCGTTACTGTTTATTTTAAGACTGTCCTTGAGAATCAATCAAATAAAGCATTCCCACTGTGTATGTTTTGCATCCAAGAATGAGGAACACATATAAGTGCCTCTTATGGAGAGGAAGTAATGGAATATTCTCTCCATTTGTGTTTTCCACCAAAAAGAAACATCTAATAAAAGTGAATCAGGCAGAAACTCATATCAGAAAATCTCCTGTCATCCTATGTTCTTTATAATATTTGTATTCTTCTAGTAGCTATTTTAATAATGGAAAAAAAGTTATCAACATACACACAAAAGCTTATCAATCCAACCAAGGAAGTGCCCAAAAGCTTAAAAAACTACTTGGGAATAATACAAACTATGAAACATAATCACCCATAAATCATTAGAATACTCCCTTTGTGTCAAGTAAGCTTTTTAAGGTCCCAGAGGGCACATGAATCTTATCTGTCATTCCTTAAATCTTTGCATTTGTAATAAACATGGGTGAAATAACAAAAATACTTTAAAATGGGAAAATAACTCTTCTCCATGAACTATTTTTTTTTCACATGCATCTTGAAAAGGAAGTTATAGCTGGAATTAAAAATTGTCATTTTTAGTAACATAACTTTTTTGTATAATAATATCTGATTGAGGATTCCAATACAAAGAAACTCAATCTATGTTTAGCCTCACTAAGGAAACCTAATAATAATTAAGACAATGATGTTATTCCAATCTCAAAAGCAAATCAAAGACTTTGCCAGGGCAGGTAGACATCCATCTCTCCTTTCCTTCCTATAGTGAGCAAGACACAACCTAGCACTTAAGTTGTAACCACCTCTCCCACGCCCCACCTCACCACCATCTCCAGCATCACCAATCTGACAATAGGCCCTTCTGTTTATAAATCATAAATAACAAATCGCCATTCTCATTCCTCCATTCTATGAACTAATTATTTCACTTCAACATTAAACTCTTGGTTTAAATGTTAGGTACAAAAATCCATTTGTATCACACAACTCCAAAAGTTCAAATCTGTCATCAAGAAAAGTTTGGACTTTCAGCCCTTTTCCATTTCTCTTTCTCTCTCTCTTTTTTAATGAAAAACCAAACAAAAAACACAGTTTCTCAAAGGGTTAAAAATCTTAGTTTTCAAATTTGTATTTTTGTGGAATATACTGATGCTTAACATCTGCAAATTTAACTAATTTATAATGGCTATTACTCTTTAAAATACTTTGTTTCTGTACTAAGAACAGTTTATATAAACATARTTATATTCAGAATGTGCCTCCACACCTGGCATTTATTATGCACACTTTGTGTATAAATCGGTTACATGAAGCATGTTCAAATACTGTGCAACAGGTCCTGCTATTGTGTAAACACATGCTTCCAACAAAATGACAGGAAGCTTTATTATATCAACAATATAAAGGAAAATCACATTATTCCTTGTAGATTTAACCATAATTCTTTGGAAAGTCAGAAGGTATCAGATCTAATCAAAAGGAGGAAATTTTATTAAAACCCCCTTGCTGGCTTTGCATCCTACCAAACATTATTAATTTGTGTCACAGCCCAGGTGTGTTCACGTTCCCAATGATTTATTGCACGTTGCTGGCTGGCTTTAGTGCTGAGTTGATGACAGGAAGAGTACTTTGGCAGAGGTCTGACAAGTCCTTATCCTTAAGTTCCCTTTTGCTTTGTGCCTTCTGTTCCCAAAGCTATCACAGGAAAACAGATGACAGTCTAAGACCTCTCCGTTTTTGCCATGAGAGTGTGAAATCAAATTTAAAACACACCTCAGAACTATTACATGGGGCCACGTTTATTTTCAATCAGCGGGGGAGGGGGAGAGAAGACACTTCAAAAGAGATGGATTTCAYGTCCTCTGTGCAGCCAGATCTAGTTACAGTGTATTAAGTTTTGTCTAAATGAGAAAAAGACTCTGTCTACTCAAGTGTTTTATCACAAAGTAATGTTATTAAACATATCAAGTATTCCCACGTTCTCCTTTAGATTCTTTTATTTTTAACCTCCTTTGTTAGGCACCAACCAMGGGGAGGAAGGTTTCAGGAACAATACCAAGGCAGCACAGGATGCCAAGCAATCAATTTTGTTTCCTGAGCTGTTTATCCATCATAAACTCAAGCTTCCTTGTTAAGCCACACGTTTGCTATAAGTAGGGCTTCACCTCTTCCCCGGGTAAGAAGCATGGACCGGTTATGATTGTGTCTTTGAGCGCGCAGCATCGTGCTTTGTGCTGCTGGGGATAACGGATTCTCGGTCTCACATGCATCCATCACCTAAGGCACAGGGAAACTCAACAAGGGTTTCAGCGGCTACAAGGGAAACAATGTTGAGACCTGGCTGCTCTGAGCTACAAGGATCCGAAGAGTGAAGGAAATGTTTCAGGGATCAGTCCAGGCAGGGGAAGAGGAAGAAGCCCTTGTACTCTTACCTCCACATTGAAATACTGCTCCGTTCCGCAGACTGTAGCACATAAAATCCAAATCAAGGTTTGCAAGAAAAACACCCCCGAAAGATGCACGAAATCCGACCGTCTTCCAGTGCTGAATGTGAGTAAGATCATAGTGAACTGTGCTTCAATGGATGGACGAGCTCCCCTTCTTTTTCTCCCTCTTTCCCTCTCCCTCCCTCCCTCGTTTCCTTTCAAAAAAAAGTCCTCCGGGTGGGTTAGGAGCCTGCAGGTTCACCCACAGCCGGGCAAGGGGAGGAGAAAGGGGGCCCAGGCGCTCGGCAGCCGGGAGAAGGAGCGGCAGAGGCAGAGTCAGCAGCAGCTCGCGTTCACCATCCTCGGGGGGTCCGTCACCCGGAACGTGGCGCCCAAGTTCACCGGCGGTTCCGACTCAAAGCTCCCAGTCGCAGCCGCAGCAGCAGCAGCCGCCGCCGCCGCCGCCGCCGCCTCCAGTCCGTGCGTCCTCCACCTCCTCCTCCTTCTCCTCCTCCTCCTCCTCCACCGCCTACTCCGCCGCCGCCGCCGCCGCCGCCGCCCCCAGCTTCTGCGGGAAGGGCCTCCGCCGCTCCTCGCTCTCTAGCCTCTGCTTCTCCTTCCCTCCTCTCCCCGCTCCCCTCCAGAATGTTCATCCGTAATCTACATAACTCCTCCTTCCCGGGGTCTGCCCGGCTCTCAGGGCCCCGGGCGCGCGCGCGCGCGCGCGCGCGCGTGCACACACACACACACACACACACACACAGTCCAACACACACACAAACACAAGGCATACACAGCCCGAACCACACGTGTGCGCGCTTCTTAAAGGAGACGGCTCCTAAAGGCTTCCTGGCTACTGTATGGCGCCGTGGAGGTATCCATCCTGCGAGAAGGGCCCGGGTTTGAGAAGAGCTATCAGTTTTACCCACCCCTCATCCCCAAGCAGACACTTAGGAACCTGGGCGGCTCCATCCTTTGATCTAGTATCATGATCCCGCATCTAGAAGCAAGTGCGCCCCTCTCCAGCCCGGGTTTGGGTGGGGCTCAGGCTGTGTACTCTGGTGGAGCCTGAGAAGAGGCTCAGGCCTGATCCAGAAGAACTATCTGCATCCTCAGTGGAGCGGCTCTGGAAGATTAGGGACACTAGGAATCAGAGAGAGAGAGAGAGAGAGATCGCCCCAGTTACTATGCACTCCTTGGGGACTTGGGTCAGTTGCCAGGCTGACCAAGTTTGGGAGGCTTGAGATGGCAAGTCCTGAACGTCCAAAACTTTACTGGGGTCCTCCGATCCAGTGTCCTGTTGTCTCCCTGAATTCTGTCTACCATCGTTGCACTCCGCCTTCCAAGCTAGGGGTGTAGGCACTGGTTTTTGGTGGGGTACTCATCAGATACAAAAGTGGGAATGAAAATTCGCTTTTCCAAGGGGAACGGTGGACAGACACACCCTGGCACTGGTGGTCCTGAGTGTTAACAAAACATCCGACCAAAGGGGTGGGGGCGTTGGAAAGAAACCGGCTGAGGGAGCCGGAGGAAGAGCTGGGTAAAGAAAAAGAGGGAGCAGCCTGAGGAAAGGCGAGTAAAGCAGCTGGCAAGGGCGGGAGGAAGAGGCTGCGCGCAGACCGAGCGGGGGAGAGGCTGGCGGGAGCGAGGAAAGCTGCAGGCGAGAGGGGGAGGTTTCTGGCAAGAGGCACAGGCAAACGCGGGCAGGGGAACTTCAGAAGAGRCTGCCAAAAAGGACTGGAGCTGCAGCAATGTGAGGCAGTGGACAGGGGAGGCAGCAACCACCAGCCCTTGGCAGGTGATGGTTTGGCTGGGAGAGAAAGGGGGAAGGGAGAGAGGCAGGCATCTGTTTGGGGGCTGTGCCAATAAATGTGCTTCTCCTTGGCAGCCAGCAGAGGGGAAGAGGAGCCCACGGAAAAGAAAAAGCAGGGAGGCGAGGTTAAGAATAAAGCGTGTTCCAGGTATGACAGCTACCTCGGTGGGGTTGAAGAGAGGATTGACAAGGTATAGTTCATGTTTCAGTTGGTAAAGCAGGAAGTAGGACTATAAGAGGTCATGAWTGATAAGCAGATGGAAAACGTTGAAAAATAGTTTGCCAAAAATGTATTGGATGGTAATAATTTGTATCCTAAAGAGAAAAATGAAAAATGTGAGGAATGAGACTTTACAGCTGTTGCTAAAATTAGAAAAGATTATATATTTATATATATATATATATATATATATATATATATATATATATATATATCTCCCCAACTTGACCCAAGACTCTCAGGTGTCTTTTCTGATAGTTTTCCCTGTGCACAGCATGAGCCACCCACAAAATTATTTTGATGATGTAATAAAAAGCTATACATTATATTGCATAACATTAAAATTTGCAGAATATTTCTAGACATAGTATTTCATTTAATTTCTACAACTTCCCTGAAGGTTTTGTTTTCAACTTCCAGATGAAGACAATGATGGAAAATGAAAGATAACTTTCCACCTCATCATACAAGTGACAGAGCTCAGGTGTTTTCTGACTCCCAATCATTGTATTTCTTACTATGTTCCACTGACTTTCCACATAAAAAAATTCATTCCTAATCTTGATTTGTGCACACAGGTTGAGATGATTCATATAAAAGAAACTGAAAACAAGGTCATTTTGTAGAAATTGTCCAGTGTTCTGTGCCAATGTAAAGTAACAAAATGTGATGTGGCATATTTGTCAATAAATCAAGAAATTATTTTTTGTGTGTATTATATCTAGAAAGGTGTAAAATTWGAAAAGAGAATGCCAAAAAAATGTTGAAATTCTGTTCCAGTCCTTGAGACAGTATCAAAGAGGAGGTGAAATAAATTTATACAAGATATACATGAGAAAACAATTATAAATGGCAAAGTCCTTGCTAAATGAGCCAGTATATAAGACTTCATTAAGGAAGTGGGACACAGACTGAGTATTGCTAGGCTGTCAACAAGAAGGGATTTCTCACTGTAAGAAACTTGTCAAAAATTAAATACAAGGGCCGGGTTTGTGGCTCAGTGGCAGAGTGCTTGCCTGGCACACATGAGGCACTGGGTTCAATCCTCAGCACCACATAAAAATAGATAAACAAAATAAATATATTGTGTCCATGTATAACTAAAAAAAWTTTTTAATAATAAATAAATACAAAACATAGATGCATTAACAGTACATATGGAGTACAAAGTGAGGGGGGGGGCTTGCAATAAAATATTAACTTAAACCTTGTTGCAATAGGCAAACAAGGGTTACTAAACCATTTAAGACATCTAGCGAATAGGTATCTAGTGAATATTCAAAACTATGCATGGTATTGTCTAGGAGAAGGAACTGGGAACAAAGAGATAATGAGATTTTTATCCAGCCACAAAACCATTAGACCTAGACTAGTGTTATGTCTTGGGACACCTATGCTTTCAAGCGACATTCCTATGAAGAAAAACTCCATTGAAAACAGGAAATTTTAAATTTGAAAGATAATGTCAAATTTGTGATTAGTAAAAATGATAAAATTTTTAACTTATTTACAATCATTTTGTAAAACTTACCACTGGACATTCACCATTGAGCAAAGAACAAGTAAGTATTCAAGGTTCTAGAAATAAAATACTGTTTTACTTCAATGATGGGGCTCAGCTCAGAAGGATTCATAGTCCAATGAGGGAGACAGACATGTAATAATTTTTTAAATATTTTTTTAAAGAGAGAGAGAGGGGGACAGAGAGAGAGAGAAAGAGAGAGAGAGAATTTTAACATTTATTAATTTTTTCTTAGTTCTCAGCGGACACTACATCTTTGTATGTGGTGCTGAGGATCGAACCCGGGCCGCAAGCATGCCAGGCGAGCATGCTACCGCTTGAGCCACATCCCCAGCCCAGACATGTAATAATTTTTATACTGCTGTAGGACTCAGGCACTTGGACTCAGGCACTTATCTTATGGAAGAAGTAGTTGATTTTCCTTGAGGTCCTTGGAGAAAGTATCACAAAATAAGTGATTCTTTGAGTAGAATCTTGAATAACGAGTGGAAATTTACGAGGTAGTGGAGGAATAAATATGCAAAAGTGCACTTGTGGAACTACAAATYGTTTGTCAAGCTAAAGGCTAGGGTATGTTTAAATCAAGGTCAAGCTCAGAGGTTGTGTGCAAGCATAAGATCAGCTAAGGTCTTTTGTGCCKTATTTCTGGCTTTATGCTGACTTTTGGGGAACAGTTGCCTTCTAGAAGTTCTCATGTGTTTTGACTCATATGTTCCACTAAGTATTTAGTATCTGTGGTCAGTGTAGATCTTTTATCTGTGTTTGTCTAATAAACCTGATGCAACATTGCCCCACATGGACTTAGCTGGTTACCTACAGAAATGTAATCACTTTCTTTGTTGRGTGACTTTGCTCTTCCATCTCTCATCTGTTATCTATGCTTATCTCTTAACAGGCCCAGAATTATCAGGAAGTTCCTAGTCTCATCTCTTAGCAGTTATGAGCTTTTCCTACCCATGTAAGTTAAAATATAAAGTATCATCCTTTCCTTTAGGGTGTTAATGAAATCTTTCCTCACAAATCTTGCCTCTTGCTGTGTGTGCTTTTGGTAAGATACCTTTTCTCTTCTCAGAATTTTACAAAGATAATGAACAATCTCAGAATTACATGTGACTAGAGGAAACAGAACCCAAAAGACAAAAGAAATAAAAAAAATGGAGTAATTTCCCAAGGCAAAGGTTAATGGCAAGTCAATAAAATATTACAGGGGAGATAAAGGGATCTGAGGAAGTAAATGATACCTGTACCTCTCAAAAGGCAAATGAYAGATACTTAAAAGTGAGCATTCTGGGATATGAGAATGATTATAGCTACCTAAAATAACATTAGAGGAAAAATTATGTATTATAACTATCATTGAAACAGATTTCTCAGTAAACTAGAACCTTCTAAATGAATTCCATAGTGTGGGAAGTTACAGAAATTGCTCATTCCTCCATCATATCAATTTATGTGCTTTCTTCCCTATTTACATCAGTTGAAACTGCAGTGCTCTTTTATTCATTTATTTTTTTTTTCAATTCAGAGAATATTGAATTAGTGCCAAGCCATTGGCATCCTTTCTTCCTACAGGGGGATCGTATATATAGATAAGGTCCCTAGAGCCTTTTTATTTAAGGTGTTTTGTCTGAGAGGATCTTAAGTCCTGGGAGTTTATCAGAAATGCAGAATCTTTGATTCTCTGTTGATTCTTTTGCATGGGAATATTGAGATGCACTGTTGTAGAATATGCACACAGAAGAGCTACTTCTATTGTATCCACTACCTTAATGTTATGCTGTAACAAAAATTGCTGGCCCATTTCAATCAGGAGAATCCTATGATACTGAAATATTGTATCCTCAAAAATATAATATCATGGCCTGA